TCATAGACGTCATACAATAAACTTGGGCATCTGTCAACATAACCCCATAGAAACATTAGTCGATTTGTGTCTGCATCATAAAGTTATTTTCGATTGAAAATGTCAGTTTATGAGCCAAATTCTCGTCATTTGCGGGAAGTTTTCTGCTTCAATATAAAGAAATTTGCGACTGAGGTTCATCGAATGCTCTCAAATACTTATGGTGAGGCCGCTATTAGTGAAAGAACGTGTCGTGAGTGGTTTCAACGCTTCAAGAACGGTGATTTTGACATCGAAGACCGACATAGCGGTGGAAGAGAGGTTTTCAAAGATACAGAATTGGAGGCATTACTTGATTAAGACTCATGTCAAAATCAAGAAGAATTGGCACGATCATTGGGAGTGACTCAACAAGCCATTTTAAAACGCCTCAAAGCAATGGAAATAATTCAGAAGCAAGAAAATTGGGTGTCGTACGAGTTGAAGCCGAGAGATGTTGAACGGTGTTTGTTTATTTGTGAACAGCTGCTTGAAAGGCAAAGACGAAAGGGATTTCTGCATCGCAATGTGATTGGGGACAAAAAATGGATTCATTACGATAACCCCAAGCGCAAAAAACCATAGGGAGTTTCAAGCCATGCTTCCACATCGACGGCCAAATATTCACGGCTCCAAGGTCATGCTCTGTATTTGGTGGGATCAGCTCGGCGTAGTGTATTATGAGCTGTTAAAACCGACTGAAACAATCACAGGCGATTGGTATCGAACGCAATTGATGCGTTTGAGCCGAGCATTGAAAGACAAACGCAATACAACGAAAGACAAGATAAAGTGAAGCAAAAAGGACCATTTTTGCTTTAATGTTGAATAACTCGGTGAAAAATATCGTATAACGCTCAACAAAAAAGCAAATTAAAGGTAAAGATTCACTCTTTCAAAAGCTGTAAACTGCATTTGCATGCGATTTTTAATTCGCGCCATGAACTCGTCAAAGTTCGTAAAAAATTTTGAGATTCGTCGGGTCTCTTTTTCTATCTGTATAATTCCATAAAAAATCAGAAGGATCGTTTTCTAAAGTACCGATTTGAAAAATAGAGATTTCAAGCTGTAAAATGCTTTTTTGAACATCTCGATACGATCATTTTTGACGAAGTTACACCTGTCTCTTATACACATCTCTGAGCGGGC